TAATGAAATGTTTGCAAGGAAACCTCCAAGCTCAAAGAGCACCAAGGATCCCTCATTTCAACCCTCAGCTACAAATATCCTCCTTTATTGGTAGCACACTTATCTAAAGGACTGATGGGAGAAAAAGTAAGGGTGACAGATGCATTTATGTATTCAAAATCCCATGCTTTTCTTTCATGTGTGTTGCACTCTGAAATGTCTGCAAATGAGGAAAGATACTTTGATTACCTTTAGTCTATATTTACACTCCTGATGACCCAAGTGATGCTGTGGCCACCCTTTCACGGTGCCTGGAGGCTGAGGGGGACAATAGGCTTCAACTGAACCCTGGTAACACTGAATGGCTTTGGGTATGTGGGGCTCCAGGATCCGGGACTTTGTCCTCTTTGATTCTGATTGGGGTGGCATTGCCCCAGAAAGACCCAGTCTGCAACGCAGGAGTTCTCCTGGACTCATGACTTTTGTTTGAGGTACAGCTGGTAGTCGGGGCTAGGAGAGCCTTTGAACAACTTTATGTTATGTGCCAGTTGTGGCCTTTCCTGGACCAGGATTCCCTGCACTTAGTCGTTCTCATGACTGGACTACTGTAATACGCTCTACATGGGGCTACCATTGAAGAATATTCAAAAGCTGGTGTAGAGTGCAATAGTACAGGTAGTTTTGGGGGGGCAAGAATGGCCCCTGTAATGCCACTGCTCCGCAAGCTGCATTGGTTACTAATCTGCTCCCGGATGTAATTCAAGGTGTTGGTGATCAGCTTTAAAGCCCTTCATGGCATGTGTCCTACTAATGGAACTGTCTCACCCCACTGGGATTGGCCCATATGACTTGTGCTGGCAGAGGAGGCATGCTGCGGGCCCTATCAGCCCGATTATTCCAGCTGATGGGATCCAGGAGGAGAGTCTTCTCTGCCCTTTCTCCTGCCCTCTGGAATATCCTACCCCCCCAATGTGAAGTTGGCCCCAACTCTCCTATCTTTTCTTAAGAGTCTAAAGACATGGCTGTGTTAATCGGCTTTGGGGGCCCAGTAGGGGAAACACTGCAATGTAAATGGTTGATTGATTAATAACAGATCTCTATTCCCTTCCCCCACAATTAGCCTAACATCAATACTAGGGAAGATACTGGAAAAGATATAAAAAAAACAAGATTGCAAATATCTAGAAACAAATAAAGTTATAACTAAAAACCAGTATGGGTTTGTTAAAAAATAGATCATGCCAAACCAATCTTATTTCATTCTTTGCCAAAATGACTAAATTAGTACACCAATGAAATGCTGTGGACATAGTATACTTAGAGTTCAGCAAGGCATTTGACAAAGTAGACCACAACCTACTTCTTGGTAAGCTAGAAAAATATGGGATGAACAACATTACCACCAGATGGATTTATAACTGGCTGACAAACCGTACTTAATGAGTTGTCCTTAATGGCACTATATCTACATGGAGGGAGGTAAGCAGTGGGGTACCACAAGGTTCCGTCTTAGGCCTGGTACCCTTCAATATCTTCATAAATGACTTATATGAAAGAACAGAAGGGGAACTCATCAAATTTGCAGTTGACACTAAGCTGGAAGGAATAGCCAACATCCCAGAAGTCAAGTTCAGCATCCAAAAAGATCTTGACAGACTTGAACAATGAGCCCTATCCAACAAAATGAAATTTAATGTGGAGAAAAGCAAGGCAGGAAAAATCTGTACAATTATAGATTAGGCGAAATCTGGCTTAAAAACAGTAACTGTGAGAGGGACCTTGGAGTCCTAGTGGATGATCACTTAAATATGAGCCAGCAGTGAGAGGCAGCAGCCAAAAAAGCTAATACCATTTTTGATTGCATAAACAGAGGCATAGAAACAAAATCACATGAAGTATTACTACCACTTTATAAAGCCTTAGTAAGGCCACACCTGGAATACTGCATTCAGTTTTGGTTACCACATTACAAAAAAGATGTTGAGACTTTAGAAAAAGTGCAAAGCAGAACAACTAATGATTAAAGGCCTGGAGACAAAAACATATGAAGAACGATTGCAGGATTTGGGTTTGGCTAGTCTAGAAAAAAGAAGGACTAGGGGGGACATGATAACAGTATTCCAATATTTGAGAGGTTGCCACAAAGAGGAAGGATCAACTTATTTTCCAAAGTACCAGAGGGCAGGACAAGCAACAATGGATAGAAACTAATCAAGGAGAGAAGCAACCCAGCATTAAAGAGAAACTTCCTAACAATGAGAACAATTATCACTGGAACAGCTTGCCTTCAGAAATCGTTGGTGCTCCATCACTGGAGGTTTTTAAGAAGAGACTGGACAGTCACTTGTCTGAAATGGTATTGGTTCTCCTGCTTAAGCAGGGGTTGGAACAGAGGACCTTGAAGGTCCCTTCCAGCTCTATTCTGATTCTGATTCTAATTATCTATATATGTACAGTTTTAAGAATGAAATATGTATGTAATACTACCACCTCATATATTAATTTAATTAACATATTCTTTTATGACTGTTATTTTTCTAATAGGGATTGAAAATTTCCTATCAAATGGAACTAGAACCTGAGCATCTTGTAATTTAATTAGTTGTCCTGGAATCACGTTTCCCCCAAAGCAGACTTACAAGTGGTTGAAGAAGCTTCTTGGATGAGAAGTGAAAAGTCTTCAAAGAAAAACAAGAACAAGTTGCCTCTTGAAAAAGCATCTTTGGGACAACTATGACCTGGATGACTGAGAATCTCCATAGACAATCTTAAACAAGCTTTTTCTAACAAGGTGATTTATATACAGGCTGTAACTTGTAGTATTTACTTCCCCAGATGTATCAAAGAAAACTACTGTATAGAAGCCAACTCTGTTCAGAGTTTACAGCTTCCAAGAACTACTTTACTTACAAAAAGATTGGGAGCAACTATGAAGTTGCTAGTTTAAATCTCATGTTACTGATTCATACTTGTACCCAATGAGGAATTTAAGAAATGTCTTCTCTGTATTTTCTTATAATGTTAGGTTTCAATTCTTCTGAATTCAGCTCTGCCTTTTGTGCTAGTAAATTAAATGCCAATCACTAATTTATCGGAATGCAATAAGCTCTAAAACAGATTTAAATGGATTTCTGTACTTTTAAAGAAACTGGGAGAATTCATTTATCATCAGATGTTATCCAACAGTCATTCATAGGCAAACCTTCCTTTTATGAAGCTCTGTTAGGAAAGAAAAATGGGCAGGTCACATACAATGTAATAATAATAAAAAAGAATTGGCAGCCCTAGACTATTGTACAACTTTACATTGCTCTATTTTTTCATTTTACATCATATACTATACAGCTAAATATAAATTACTATATTTAAAATCTGGGGAAAAAATGCAGATGAATTTTTGGGACATCTGACCAAAATCAAAATTACAATGATGCCTCAATTCGTTGTTAAAGAACAGTGGTTATGAAAATGTTAGTTTGTATTGTGAAACATCTGCTGATCAGCTCACTTATTAAATATGTCTGTAGATATATTTATAGATGATCGGTATCAATAAAATATGTATAACTATCTGTGCTTTCTGTTATAAATCTCCTTCTGATTCCACATCTCTTCTGTATAAAACTTAACAATTTTCAAGGGAAAAAATCACTATGCTTATTTCTGTGTAATGCAAATATAAATTATATATATAATTTATGATCACACCTAAATATTCTAAAAAAAGCTATTGCAAGATTTAGAGCATATGTAGATTTGATAAAAGGTGTCATGTTATTGATTACTTTTAATTTAAACTAAATTTGTGTATCAGTGATTTCATGACCTCTGCAGATGCCATGCCCTAGATAAATAAATAAAAATGATTAGTTTGAATGTATAGGATACAAATATAAAATGTAGCAAAATAAATTCAGTTTAATTTTTTCAATGAACACACTTTGAAGTTTGCACATTTTTTTAAAAAAGAAAAGTCTTGACTAAGCTAGGCTCCTTGTTGGGGGCTCACAAGTGTTTATTTTAGAATTGCACTGTATTTTGTTGGGTTCATTTTTAAAAAGAAAAAATATGTTTAACTTGATATGGATTTGTAATGAAATAATTACAGAGAACTAAACAGACATGACAGAAAATGCTCTCATATAAGTATTTCTTTCAGTAATTTATCAAGCAGTATGTAAACATAGCACATTTGTAAAATGTTAATTTAAAATTATAATTTAACTAGTATATATAATTTAAAGTTGGAAAATGTCCAGAAACAGTTATAAAATTGACCGAGCTTGGGACATAAAAGGCCATAGAAATATATTATTTATCTTATTTTTTATCTTTTTAAATTTAAAGCAGTCGTTTTCTAATTGATTCATATGTGTTTAGATTGCTTTATTTTGTATGCTGCCCAGAGTCACTACGTGAAATGGGCAGCGATACATATGTGATCAATTAATAAAAATAATACATAATAAATCATTGCAAATCAGAAGTTTAGCCCACTGTTTTTTTTAAATTGAAGAGCCAAACTCCTACTTCTAATATTGCACAACTGTCCGAATTAATCCTAGTCTTTTTCGATATGCTGCTCTTTTAATATTTTGCATTGCAACTCCCCTTGTCTATTTGATATGCTGACTAGGGATCATGGGAAACGCATTCCGTCTCATGCAGCCTTTTGCTTGCACATGCCTTTCGTTTGTCGAAGTCACTGAAACAGATGATAACAATAAATGTCATCTAGGAAATCCGAAAAAAAAACAACCTGGGTGAGCATGCATGTAAAGGCGAGAGGGAAATGATTGACAGCTTAAACAGTCAGTTAAGGAAGAAAAGAAATATGATGGAGCCAAACAGTCCCAAAGGCGGCAGACGCTCGTCTGGTAGAATCCAAAACAACCAATGAACGGCGGCGAAGAACGCCGCCGCGAGAGAAAGGGGAAGGTCTAACCTACAACGCGCGTTGTTTACTACAGGAGAAAACTCCTAGCAACCGAAGAGCTAACGTCCCCATGGCAACCAACTCTAGCTATGCAACAGAAAGAGCGGCGGACTAGGCCGTATCTTCTTAGAGTCTAACAATTACGGAGCGAACCGGCATCGGCTCAGTCTGGTAAGCAGCTGCGAAGAAGTGGGTGTGTTTTATATTCAACATATATTCAACATAATACTATTTGGGCTGTATATTTCTTTTCTTGTTTTTAGCATCTTTCTGCAAGATTCTGGGTTGGTCATAAGCCATGGGAGTAGCCTTGACTAGAGCAGCTCAGTGGACCACGGCTGGATCTGGAACCGGCACATTAGAAATTACCCCCCTGAACGAATCTCTTTTAAATGAAATTATCAAGTTTACAGAAACATTTAGTAGCAAGCATCCCCCGGAAGCAGCCTTTGTCTTTAAAGAACCACTTGAATGGCATACACAACTAGAACCATCTGCATTTGAGGCAGGCTATGAAGTCAGGTAAGACGGTGACCAGATCGCTCTCCCCAGAATATACAGTATAAGAATAAAATATGTCTTCAAGATACCTTTCTATAAGTGCAGATTTTGTTTTCCCCATTTCCTAATAAAAATATTAGGCTGTGATTTGGCTCTTCTTCCCATGTGATGTCTTAATAGATGTGCATAACTTTGCATCTTCAGATTTTCGGATTAGCCACCATTTTTATTTTATGAATTGGTCAAGATAATTTCAAGGCATGTAAAAAATATAATCACAGTGATAGGGTGAAGTTCAACAAAGAGAATGCTTGATATAGTGACTAAAGTGCTGAGCTAGAAATCAGGAAATGGTGAGTTCTAGTTCTCCTATAGCACAGGTGTCAAACTCACCACGTCACGTGACGTGTCGCAACATATCGCGACTCTTTTTGCATTGCTGGCAATGGGGTGGGTGCAGCTTTGGTATGATGAAACTAGCCCGCGGGCTGGCAGTTTGACACCCCTGTCTTATAGGCATGAAAGGTGACTGAATGACTTTGGGCCAATCACGCACTCTCAGTCCAATCAATCTTCCTTTCAGTTTTAACTTTGCTTGTGGGAAGCTGGTAGGGAAGGTCGCAAATGGCAATCACATGAACACAATGCATTGCAACGTTGTAACTACAAAGTGGACCCAGGCACCCTAATCGCAATTGTGACTGTGGAGACACTATGATTTAATTTGTGGACCAATCACGAGTCCCCCTCATTCAGCATCACTGTGATTTTGAACTGTTGCTGAACAAATGGTCATAAGTCAAGTAAAAATAAAGTGATTTAAATCTACAATCTAAAAAGAAATAAAATTTAAATTTGGCTAGATGTGCCTATGATGCATTTGAATGTACAATGTATACATACTGAAGAGATCCTAAATTAAAAGAGACTTATTGCCTACAATGAACTGTCATTAAAAAAATTGGCATGAAATGTAGATCAAGGATCATGAAAAGTATCATTCAAAATTCTGGAGAACCCAGCATTGGAAAAGCTGATCTGCTATATTCTTTTTGAAAAACTAATACGTGCAGCGTAATTTCTAGATTCTGTATATCAATTAATGGGATATTCAATGTTTTGGTTAATGAAGCTTGCAATGTTTTCTGTTCACAAATAATCATCATTCAAGGCTGTTAACATTGACAATGGTAAAAAATACAGAAATGCAAAACACAAATATGTAGCAAATTGAGGCAATTTATGTTTTATTATAAAATATAATAATGGATAATGTTCTCTTAGTTTAAGGATATATAGTTTTATTGCATACCCTATTCTTAGCATATGCTGGATAGCATTTAACATGATGAAAACAAATAAAATAAAAACCTAGTATATAAAAAATAATAAATTTTAAAAGTTAACAATAAACATGATGGGTATCCATTCAAAACTAAGCAAACTAAATTAAGGGCCAAACACACACTGGAATAAGATTGTATTGATCTACTTACGAAATGTTAGCAAAATCAAGGTCAGACCTTGTTCTACAAAGTGGGAATAGCTACCAAAAAGAACTGTCAATCCTTGCCCCATGGACCACACGAGGAACATGGACCTATAACAGGCCTCTTTTTTGTTTCTTTCCTACAACAGGAGAGAATTCCATTGTGGCAAGTTATTGCCTGATATATCCCATAGTGTCTTTTAAAGATAATGACCAGTATTTTGAATTGGTCTCAGAAGCCAACTGGCAATTTATGTAGTGGCCTCAAATAGCCTGATGGGGTTGACCTCTCAGGTATATAGCTTCTGTATTTTATTCCATCTACAGTTTCCGGGCGGTATTTTGGGGAAAATATTTCAAATTCAAACATATATATTCCAATAAGTAAATAGGATTTTCTTTGTGAAGAAATATTTGGAGTTAGAATGTAAGGGCAAAGGTCAACCAACTTAGAATGTACTGTAAGGAAATGTTACTTCCTCTGGAGTACATAAACTAAAGATGTTCGGAGGTTGATCCTAGTTTAATTTGCTACAAAAATATTCTTTATTCTCTTCTCAATGTAATCCAAGCTATTAAGAAACTGCTCACAATATTTAATAAATTAATTCTGATAAATTAATAAAAGAATTAACATTCAAACCTAACACTATTTTATTGGAAAGCGAGATCCTACTGTTAGATGGATTAAAAACAGTTTGAGAAAATGATTTACAAATGATCATTGAGAAAGAGGATCTGAATGGTTTATATTTCAGTTTCCAAGAATTGGGTTTCACATCCTCTGCCCAAATTAGAAAAAAATTAAATTAAAAAAATGCATAGAGTAGGGGTGTCAAACTGCCGGCCTGCAGGCAGAAGGCGTCATCGAGAAACCACGCCCACCCCATTGCCGGCAATGGCAAAAAAGCTCCGATACGTTGCATGATATCATGTAACGTCGCGAGTTTGACATGTCTGGCATAGAGGATATGAAACTGATGAAGCTGTTATATATGGCTAAAAGGAAATCTATACTCTATTGGAATAACTGCAGTGAAAAACAAGCTATGTTTAGTTATTAAGAATTACTGCGTTTTAAATTATTACTTTATTCTTTCAGTGAAAAAACTGTCCAGTCTCAAGAAAGAGACAAAAATGGACAGCCACTGCTCCTCCTCAAAGGATCAACTATTAGCGTTCGCAGTTTTGGGCAGCTGTCTCATTTACTCTCTGTTGCTGGGAAAAAAAGACTAAAAGAAGCACAGGCATGTCTTGAAGGTATTCTGTAATAATAATAACTTTATTGTAACTTTGAATGTACACTAATTGGCATACATTAAAATGAAATTTTGTTGCACGTTCTCTGAAAACCTAGATATTTCTGAATTACATGATGATTTAATATGCCTTTTCTCATTCTTGCCTTGTTTGGCCTTGTTCTATTTCAGTAATTAATTCAGAAGGAACTTGTTGCTAGTCAAATCTGGGAGAGATAATTTATCATGATTCAAAATAAAAAGTAGGCTAAATAATGCTAAAATTAGATGTTTTACAACTAATGGGATAATTTTACATCCAAATTCATAAATATTTATTTGTAATTAATCAAGACCTTCAATAACTCAATCTGAGATTTGTATGTAATATGAATAACTTATAGCCAACAGAGATCCCATTGTGAAAATCCTTGGCCCTGGATATGGAACAATTGAAGGAGAGGATTTGTCCATGCTTCGTTTACTAGACAAAATTAAAAAGGATGATGCATCAGACAATGAAATTAAAATGAAAATTTCCCTACTACTTCAGCAATTGGATATGCAGTTGCTGAACAGCTCGCTGAAACAGATATCACAGTGAGTCTATTTCAGATAGTATTTGTTTATCTAAAATGAATTATGTCCCTCTCAGAGGGAAAATCTCATACTTTTACATTTTTTAAAATAAGTTTTATGTCCTATGTTAATCTGAAATCTAAGCCTAATTTTTGATAGTTTCCTCTTTGCCCAACAGCCCTTGTATACTCTTTCCCAAACCAAGTGGTCCAGGCCTATGTACTGTATGAGAATTTCTGTCTTAAAGCTAATTAGCCAAGCAGTTATAGTCTTTCTGGGGAATATGGAATTGCTTTGAAAAATAAACCCAGCATATTCTTTAACTGAATCTTTAAATGTTGTTAGAATGTAATTAATTTATTCTAATTACAGAGAAGTGAGATTAACACCAACTGCTGTGAAAAATGAAGTAGAATTGCTTAAGCATTTCTCTGGGACAATGGAAGATGCAGTTCTTGAATCACTAGACTATTTATCAGGTTCAAATTGTGTTTTTTATTCTTTTTATTTTAAAAAAACTGTATATTAAATGCAGAATAAAAGATAGGCTGTCAAACCTTTTGGGTTTATGATGATAATGAAGAATTTGATAAATTGAAAGGAATCCCACCGTAAACTGACTTTGTTAGGGAAGAGGGAAGTTAACATTTATCTATTTATACTTACTATTTATAACTTTTAAATCCACTTCTACAGAGTGTCACAGGGAAAATTGCTACCTACACAGTTCTAGCCTTTCTAGGTTATAGAGATATTATGACATCTAAATATATTTTCCAAGGCTTTCTTTGCTACCTTACAACTGCTAATCTGTGGCATATTTTGTGATTGCTTGGTTTCTTTATTTTTTGATAGTTGATCCTAAAAGGCAGAAATTGTCAATGATTTCAATATTTGTACAACCAATTCTAAGGATGGTTGCTATACGTGTTGTCATTTATTTCTGTTTATAGCCTCTCCCCCCCAACTCATACTTGTCTCTGGACTGTGCCACAGTTAAAAACACAAAGCCAAACAACGTCATAATTAAAACAAAACTATTAAAATATGGTTACAATGATTACAATCTTAATATAAACTAGGAAAACCTACGGACAATGTAGCCATGTAATGGGCTCCACACTTCCATGGATCCCCAGACCTGATGACTTCACCCAGTATCTTTTATATGGTTGATGTTAAATAGGAATAGAGAGAATACCAAGCCTGGTGGCACACCACATAGTAGGGATGAAGGAATAATCTCTGATAAATACTGACTGGAACCTGCCTTGAAGAAAGAGAACCAGCATAATATGGTGCTGCCCACTTCCAGAGATTGATGGTATCGAAAGCTACTGAGAGGATAGATGCACAACCTCTATCTTGTTCTCACTAGAGGTCATTGTTGATGACCTTTTTACCACTTTTGGAATCAGTGTTAACTTTTGGCAACTGCTTGGGCAGCTCGGTTGACAGAGAGTGACTAGCTCAAGATCATCAAGTTGGCTTTGTGCCTAAATTGTAACTAGAATTCATGGTCTTACAGTTTCTATCTTGCTGCCTTAACCACTATATGAAACTGGCTCTCTTTTTTAGTAATCTGCACTGACTGAATATGAAATATTTCATTTGCACTAACATCACAGTGGAAGTTTATTTATTATCCTTTTTTCTCTATTGGGTAAATTAAAGTGGACTAAAACATTCCTCTTGTTTTTTTAGACTATGAATTCTTCAATGGATGCCGTGCCCCACCTTGGAGACAAGTACATGGGGAAATTTGTTATTTATCAATTAAACCACGTGACACAGATATTATGTTTGTTACTTGTAGCACAGCAGGAGTATTCTTAAATGGAGTAAGTAATTACATTCACAAACAAAGCTTCATGACATTTATTTCAGAGATTGCACATATGATCTAAAACTGTTAGGCTACTTGGAAGTCAATAACATAAATACCTTTCTTTTAATAAGACATTCAAATACATAATTAGCTTAGTTTTTAATTTTTTCACCAGAATAATTTTGTAGTAATGTGCACCTACATTCCATTCCTGCTGTTCCTTTATACTGAATTATGCTATTTTTATTCTAGTTATGAATTAGAATACAAATTGTTTTCTTTTATTGTAGCACTTGTGATTGTGAACTAGATCATTATTATGCATACAGTGTAATAATACAACATTTTTAATATAATGAGCTTTAATACTGCTGAGAGAAATAAGGATTATAATTATACGATTGTATTGAAACAAGAAAATAAATAATATTGAAAGTAATATGATATGGATAGCTTCACTCACTTTAAATTTTAAGTGACATTTCAGAACAGAATGGATTGAAGGTTGCAATATATAAACAACCTGGAAATAAGTTCTATTAAATTCAGTGTAGCTTACTAGGAATGAGTATAACTTATGTTTCTGAGAAATCTCTGGAACAGTTTAAAACTACATAAAACTTGGTTTTCTTATAGGGAAGAAGCAATGAGAGAGATGAGATTGATTATGAGAGGAAGAGTGACATACATAAAGATCTTGTCACATTTTTAAGAGAACGATCATCAGCATTTACAGAAAATATGGCTAAACAGGTATGCATTTCTTGTTATTATACTTTTAGTTATACTTCTAGTTATCAACCATACTTCTAGTTATCAACCATAATGCGAACAGCTCTTAGTTCTTTTTATGTGACTTTGTCTGTATCTTATTTTGGTTCGGTCTGTTTATGCAGTATATATTTATACATGCACACATTCAAACACACATTGGCCAAGTTCACACATATTAAGTCACAGTCTGGGCTGTTTGGTTTATTATGTTGTGTGAAGGTTGGATTAAACGCAGGGAGACTCAGATTCTAATCTACCCTCATCAGTGGAACTCACAGAGTGACTTTAGGTTAGTGACTCTTTCTCAGACCTCATACAAGATTGTGGGGGAAAAATATCTGTAGAGAACACTATGTGTACTTGAACTCAGTACCCCCCAAAATGGCATGTGAATTCAATAAAGCATTGTTAAATAACCAGGGTTCAATATTACATGTAAGGCCACTAGTTTCTTCGACTAAGTTCTTTTGGTAATTTTCAGTATATAGAGACAAATTTTAATTATATCAGGAACATTGCCCAGAATTGTTAAATCTGACTGATATTTAAATTCTGCTAAAGAAGTACACAACAAGTCATTGTTGTATTATAGACTGCATTATTTGTGCTTTCATAAACATGAACACAGTGGTCAAAAATTACTGTATATTTCAACATTTATTTAAATAATGTAATGCTAAACTAAGTCACTTAGAAGTGAAAATAGAATGGGTAATATAAAAGATTATGAGAAGCTTTGTAGAAAAATGGAACTATTTTTTAATGATGAAAATCATTGGTAAATACAATCCTCATTTCATTGTCAAAAACCAAATGTAACAAAGTATTTTGAATGAAATTATTAGGAATCAGTTTTTAAATATTTTATCTATTTTTTTTTCATTTGTGCATGAACCTTAGAAAATATCTATGGCTGGCTCAGGAATTTATCTATAAGTCTGGAATTTTGCCAATAAATTTATTTCCTAGATCTTTAGCACACTTATTTGGAAGCTGTTTTGATTTTAATGGAACTTATTCCAAGCTTAGGACTGCAGCAGTTGGCAAAAAGTCTCTGCTCATCTTTCTACACATGTTTTTCCTTTAAGCAGTAGTATAATTTTAAAGCAGGAAAATATCATATTTTAACAAAAAAGGTCAACTGTCTTTGACAATGCTTTAAATAATCAGAACCATTCCTCTTTCTAACTTCATCTCTTATGATTTGAATAAAAAGAATATTCATTATTTTACAATTTTCTTTGATTTCAACATTAGGGGTACTTCAAGCTGACACAGCACATATTGCTGTTACAATATAGCAGCTCTAGTATTTAAATATTGCTGGCAAATCAGAATAATATTTTTAATAAAAGATAGCAGTTATAATGGTATTTATGGCAAAACATTTTCTTCATATTTTTAGATGTTGCATTTTTACAGGAATATTCATTGCAAGTAAGCTAAAAATGGTTAAGTTTTGAAATAAGGGAATAAAATATCACCTCTCATAATCTATAGAGAAATAATGACATCAATAAATAAAAGGAGTGATTCATAGACTGAAAATCCTGTTGAAAGTGTTTGAATAAGTGATAAGAAAAATAAAATTCATGCAGTAGTAAGGATTTGTTGTAGACCTGGACAAGCAGAAAGTAGGGATGAGGTGTGTTGTGTAAAATGACTAAAAATTTAAAGGAGCTCATAATTTTGACAATGGGAGATGTAAACTTCCCTGACATCTGCTAGAAATGTAACTTTGCCAAAAGTCAGAAGTTCAACAAAATTGTGTCCTTTCTTATTGACAACTTTATTTGTTAAAAGATGGAAGAAGGAACAAGGATTACTATCCCGAATCTAATATTTACTAATAGATAGAAATTTGTTGAATAATTGAGGAATCTGGAGTTGTTGTCTTTGATTTCATGATAGCAAGGGGAGGAAGAAGAGTCTGACTTGTATGCTGGGCTTCAAAATAATAGATTTCTAAATAATAATAATAATAATAATAATAATAATAATAATAATAATAATAAAAAAGTTGGAAGGGACCTTGGAGGTCATCTGCTCCAACCCCCTGCTCAGGCAGGAAACCCTATACCATTTCAGACAAAGGCCGTCCAGTCTCTTCTTAAAAACTTCCAGTGTTGGAGCATTTCTGGAGGCAGGTTGTTCCACTGGTTGATTGTTCTAACTGTCAGGAAGTTTCTCCTTAGTTCTAGGTTGTTTCTCTCCTTGATTAGTTTCCATCCGTTGCTTCTTGTCCTGCCTTCAGGTGCCTTGGAGAATAGTTTGACTCCCTCTTCTTTGTGGCAGCCCCTGAGATACTGGAACACTGCTATCATGTCCCCCCTCGTCCTTCTCTTCATTAAACTAGACATACCCAATTCCAGCAGCTGTTCCTTATATGCTTTAGCCTCCAGTCCCCTGATCATCTTTGTTACTCTTCTCTGTACTCTTTCTAGAGTCTCAACATCTTTTTTACATCATGGTGACCAAAACTGGATGCAGTATCCCAAGTTTGGCCTTACCAAGGCATTGTAAAGTAGTATTAATACTTCACTTGATCTTGATTCTATCTCTCTGTTTCAATAAATTTAAACAGATGGTAGGCCAGTTTCAATGTCTTTACATCCTGAAAAAAAAAGTGTATTAGGGAGGGAGATCCTGTAAGACATGATAGTACAGTATAGTCATATCTGAAAGAAAAATGGAAGATATCTATTGGGACCATTCTGAATATATATAGTGCTTTCCAAATTGATGCAAAGAAAAAGACTTGTATAGCAAATGTCCAGGGAGTGTTTATTCAAAAAAGGATACAAAGCAGTTGCCAGGTTTGGTAGGGATCGAATCAAAAAACGTAAAGTGAAGAAATGCCCCAAAGAACTCAGAAAACATTTTCAGGAACATCAGAAAGAAATGATTGGTAACAGATGATGACAAGAAGGAAGCATTCTTAACTCATCTTTTATATCTGCTCTAAGAAGGGAAACAAATCTTTAGCTGGCCTCACTACCGGTAGAGGAACTCAGATTAATCAAGAAAAAGGTAAAAGCTTCCTCCTCCCCCCACCAGGAGAATGGCAGAACCCGAAAAGAATAAGAAATCCCATGCACCCAGAACATAGGGTTCTGACAGGAGGCTTAAGATTTTAAAAACAAAGTGACTGGTTATCTACATAAATATCTGCTATGTAGTTCATATAGCAAAAGTTATTTAATATTAATATATTTATTTTCAAACCATTAATTAGGATTTTAGTTAATAAGTTTATTTCTTAAAATACAGAATCAAGTTTATATTTTTTAATCAAAAGTTTTATTTTGTTTCATTATGATTATCTTTTTTAAAATCAAGAATTGTGATAGACAACTTTTATATGCTAAGAAAATCAAACTACCTAACCATCCTCTGATTTACTAATTTTAGCATGTTTTACTCATTTAGAAATATGATTTTTCCTAAACATTTTCATCTCTTATTAGAAATACACATTTTTTGATGAACCAAAGTATGAAAAGCATTATCAGCATATGGAAGCAGTTGAGGCAGATGAATATGGCCAAGCCCCAAAATTTTACGACTATGCAGAAAAGAATGTTTTTGAAAAGCCTAAGAGTCCTCTTGTAAAAAGTAAAACTCCTGACAGCAAGAAATTAGAACCATCTCTTAAGTGGAAGACTACAACAGGCGCTCGAGAGTATGTAATTCTTTTAGATTTCCTGACAAATATAATTAATTAACCTGAATTTTTGCAGTGTAATATTGTTGTCACTATTTTTTTTTAAAAAACTTGAAACTGAACAAATTTAAATTTAAATTTGCTATAATTTAAAATCTTTATTTAAATAAATTGTGTTTTCTAAAAATATTATTTTTCCTTATTTTGTGACTTCTCAGCAATTAGTAAAGTTTTATATTCAAATCATATTTCTTCCATTTAAGTACATGTCCCATAAGCAGGCACAGGATTTACAAAGGTGGGTAGGAACAACTGTATCTGTAGGATTTAGAATGGAGCATTTAGGATCCAAGAGGTGAGCTTGTGGCTCCAAATTTTCACATTTGAGAAGCAATTTAATGACACCTTGAAATTTTAGTGCTTTGTGATTGACCAGTCTAGCTTGTTGTTTCATTTATATCGTATTGTCTTTTGACATATATGTTGATTTCTCTCTCTCCATCCCTTTTATTAAGGAGCAAGACTGAGAAGTATAACTGACCTCCCCAAGACAATAGTGATTTTAACTTTGCTTCCGAGAAACTGAAATTCTAATGATTACACCATAACAGGTTCTTTACCAGTTACCGTTTCACACAAAGAACAGAATATGTGCAGATAATACTGGCAGTATTTTGTTCAAACAGCAAGACTAATGTTGATAATTGGTGACTATTCATAAGCTAGGTTGAGATTCCACCCAAAACCAGTCAAAGCAGAAGACAGGAGGAGCAAGTGGCTTGGTCTGCAAGCTCAAAAAAGAATCACTGGAGGTTTTTAAGAAGAAACTGGACAACCATTTGTCCGAAATGGTATAGGGTTTCCTGCCTGAGCAGGGGGTTGGACTAGATGACCTCCAAGGTCCTTCCAACTTTATCATCATTATTATTATTATCTCTGAATCAGAGTCACTGGGAGCTGGGCGGCATATACATTTAATAAATTATTTGTGGTTGGTCACATAGATGATGATAATTGAGACACATGACATTTTTTCACTGGATCTCTGAAATGTTCTAATTCCATTTTCATGATTGGTAATATATACAGCATAAATAAAAAAAATAAAAACCAACTCTAGAAGCCCAACAACAGTAAAATTCAAATGTATTGCTATCAGTTGTATAAGTTACAAGATAATTAAGCAAATAACTCTTCATTGTGGTTACGATTATGCAAAGTACTAGATAATTGATCCTTTTAAAACAAAACTTTTAACAAATTCAGTATAATCTAGGACTATTAGGACTGACACTGACAGGATCATAAAGAATTCAGGTAGAGGAGAGAGGCAGATCTGTTGAACTCCAATAACTCTAAAGTCTGCATACCTATGGTCTGGGAGTGATGGGAGGTTTTGAGGGCCTCAGTTCTTCTAGCCCAACTTGTATGCATTTGAAAAAAGGAATGTAGAGGATTAATATAGCAAGTCTTCTGATAAAAAGCACCGTTCAGAGGTTTTAGCACAACCACATTTTGTCTATGATATCCAACTAGCTTGCTTAACGGAACAAATATTCTGTATCTACTGCACATAAAAAAGTAGAGGTAGTCGCTGACTTACAGCCACAACTGAGCCCAAAATTTACGTTGCTATGCAAGACATGAGTTTTGCACCATTTTATGACCTTTCTTGCCACAGTTATTAAGTGAATCACTGCAATTGTTAAGTTAGTAATCTGGTTGTTAAGTGAATCTGGCTTCCCCATTGACTTTGGTTGCCTGAAGGTTGCAAAAGATAATCACATAGCCTTGGGACACAGCAACTGTCACAAATATGAAACAGTTGCCAAGCATCCAAATGTTGATCACATGACTATGGGAGTGCTGCAATGGTTGCGTGAAAAACAGTCATAAGTCCATTTTTTCCAGTGCTGTTGAAACTTTGAACGGTCACTAAATGAATGGTTGTAAATTGAGGACTACCTGTATTACAACATTTAATTATGTGTGCAATCTAGATTTCACTGTGATAGTATTTTCGGCATCAGTGATCATCAGTTGTAACTGCCTATCAGCAAATTCAAGAAAGATCACACAATGGTTGTATAGTATGTGCTTATGACTCTTATCAGAAATATATTACTTATTACAACAATTGCAATAGTTATCTGTACAAGTTGTGTATTGCACCATGAACTGAAATGCACTACAGTATTAGAAATTACTATTTTCATTGTAGCTCTTGCCCAGGTTCACACAAATGTCTGTTAAAAATAATTTTGAAAAGTCAAAAATCAATGGCTGGAGTTAAAAAAAAATGTTTAAAGACGAAAAGAATCTGAGTCTGCTTTTAATATCAAAATGCCATGACCACAATCCAAGAGAGAATTAACTGTGCTTAGGTCCATTGAAATCATTAGGTTTATTCTTTGCTGCACTTAACTGAGCTGAATTATGGACCATTTATAATTCTAGATTCAGCAAATTTTGCTGATAATTTGTGATGACATCAGTTCTTTATGCTTCTTTAACAAATTATTCAGTCTAAATGATATGACATTAATCAGTTTTAGCCTTTAATGGACTTAGTTCAGAAATTAAAACATTTATTATATATTCATTATATCCTTAATTGTCAATGAACAATGTTAAATCTTTTTAGAAGCAAATCAGCAAGAAAATCCGATGAAAAAGAAATCAAGCATGCCACTCCAGAAAGCAAGAAAAGATCCAGTGGAACACCAACTGCCTCTCTTAAAAGGTACACAGTCTTAATAATGCATAGCTTTCTTTTGCTTGAATTAAAAGCACAATTTTTCAACAGGAACAAGATAACAAGAAATGATTTCAGCGTCTCAAATGAGCAAACTAAAATGGTTAAATTGATGGATTTATTTAAGGTTTTTTTTTACTATTTTTATGTGCAGGAGTCTGCAAAATCAGTGTTAGTCTCAGATATGAATCTTACTTATTAAGTTTTCAAATGGAAAATTTTCTGGTGTTCCCACTTCTCTGCATGACCAAACAGGGAACTCCCAAGCTGAAAATATAAACCTGTTGGTTCTGGCAGAATTGTGTTATATTTGCATCTGCTACCATTTTTCCAATCACAGACAGAGAAACGATGATTGCTTGGCTTATTGTTCTGGCTCTTAATAGACATTTCCTTAGCTCACATTTCTTAAGCAGTGTACAGGAACAGATCTCAGTTTTGAACAGTGTGCCCTGAAATTTAAATACCCATTTGGAGAGGTTTTTGTATTGCTTTGTTTTTATTTTTAGTAATCTCACTTTCTCCCTTCATCTGTGCTCTGGGACCAAGTTAGTATCAAAATCTGAAAAGCAAACAAATACATCCATTCCAAGAACCTTCATAGTTAGTCACATTGTTTCTCCAATTTCACAGTATTCCATCAGCAGAAAATCGTTCAGGTTAAAACAAACGATTTTAATTTTTTTCTACTCTATGTCAGTTAAGTGGATTATGTAAATTTAGATAATTTGTTTATAAATTAAATAAGAATTGATATCTATTAATGAGGATATTAATGCACAGTTTTGCATGCTAATTTTATAAAATAATAGCATAGTACAGTGAGAACCTATTACATATGATATATAGGTTACATATAATGTCTTCTGATCATTTTTTTAATTATTACTATGTGGCAAAAGATTGTTCCAAATATAATTGAAACCATGAAGGACTTTATCCTTCTTCTTTTACAAGCTGTTTTTATACTGAACGTTGCACATATATTAATTCTCCAGTAGTTCCAGATGAAGAAGAAAACATACATTTAGCTTCAGAGATAAGGTGCTTAGCTTTGGAAAATTGTTCAAAAGAAAAAAAAAGGCCTTTGGAAAACGAGTCAATCCATTTCCCAAATTCTTCTACAACTATACTAAAAATCAAAAATCAAAACTGGAAATGTTTTAACATTTAGTTTGTTCATATGAGATAATAATCCAGTCTCTCCAATTTCATCTCTCTATATGGAATGGGGTAATAATACTGATCTATCTTATACTTTCTTAACAGTGTTGCAGTAATTCAGGTAATTCAGAAAAATTATTTCACTCTATTGTTCAATTTATATAACATATTACTCCTGAACACCAAGGTATATATGTGGTATATATATACGATATATACCTTGGTGTTCAGGAGAAAGTGATTCAGCTGAATAAATGGTTTCTGATTAAATAGATGCTAGTTTCCTTTATGAATTGTATGCAATTAAAAATGATTTGTGAAATATGAGAACAAATGCATAGCACTTCTTTAAAACAGTGGAGGTATTTTTCCAACAGCAAAAGTCATATGTAGCTATTTTAATGAAATGTTTTAAAGACACAATTATATTAATAAGTTGGGTCATTAAAATGCTGCATCTTGTATCATGTTTTCTGACTTGGAAAACTGAAAAAAGATACTTTTTAAAAAGATGCTGCAATCATCAGTGGAACAACTTGTCTCCAAAAGTTGTGGGTGCTCCAACACTGGAGGTTTTTAAAAAGAGATAATAATAATAATAATAATAATAATAATAATAATAATAATAATGATGATGATGATGATGATGATGATGATGATGATGTTGTTGTTGTTGTAAGGGACCTTGGAGGTCATCTAGTCCAACCCCCTGCTCAGTCAGGAAACCCTATATCATTTCAGACAAATGGCTGTCCAGTCTCTTCTTAAAAACTTCCAGTGTTGGAGCATTCACTGCTTCTGGAGGCAGGTTGTTCCACTGGTTAATTGTTCTAACTGTCAGGAAGTTTCTCCTTAGTTCTATGTTACTTCTCTCTTTGGTCAGTTTCCATCCGTTGCTTCTTGTCCTGCCTTCAGGCACCTTGGAAAATAGCCTGACTCCCTCCTCTTCTTTGTGGCAACCCCTGAGATATTGGACAACCATTTGTCTGAAATGGTATAGGGTTTCCTGCTTGAACAGGGAGTTGCACTAGAAGACCTCCAAAGTCCCTTCCAACACTGTTATTCTGTTACCCATATTGTCAACTGTTATGGAGCACATTTACCAATCTTTTTCAATACATACATAGGTGAAATAGATTATTCCCATCTCAGTGTGGCTTGCATTAAATTTCTGTCTCTTAATAATTTCAAATTCATATACTTACAGATTGTGCTTTTGTTTTAATGTGTTTATCATTTCTAGATGTGATTCTCCCTTTCTTGCTCCATTTTTCCTTCTTTTTTGGTTTAGTAAACCTCCACCAAAAATTGAAGATGCAAGTGAAAGTTCTTCTGAGAGTGAAGAAGAGGATGAACAGCCTGAACGCCATCAGGAAATTAATACTGATTTGCCATCAGAATATTGGCAGATTCAAAAATTAGTGAAATATATAAAGGTAAAAAATTAATTTTGAGGAAAGACTGCAAAGAATCACATTGCTTCTCTTCTAATTAAATTATAAATTCAAAATTATTATTCCAGAATCTCTTCATTTTGTTTTGATTTCTCTAATCAGTTTGCAGCCTAAAATCTTTTTGAATCTTTTGAACTTTTGTTGTAGTAGATCTATAGAATACCATTTAGTTTAGTTATAACGATATCCTTTCAGCCCAAAATATTGCAAAACAGACAAGTAATCCAGTGGTACCTATTATAAAGTGGCAAAATATAAATCTTCTAAATTCTGTGTTTTTTATTGAATTTATATAGACATCATCTCAATGAAATATCTCTAGCTTCCTTCAAAGTTGTGACATAAGAAAAAAACCCCAGTAAAAACATGACCTAACAGTAATCATATCAGGTCTCTGTGCATGAAGATTTTGCAACAATCTGGAATTAGGCCCTTCTGATCACATGATATCGCCTGGCCAATTTTATTATTATTTTTCACTCTGTTGGGATTTATTTATTGATAGGTCTATAAATTTAAGGGACCACTTATGGCTTTTGTTTTTATATACAATTCCTTGCTGGATTATATTTGTACATATAAACCATGTTATAGAACATAGTACATAGAATAATAGAGTTGGAAGGGATCTTGGAGGTCTTCTAGTCCAACCCCCCACTTGTGTAGGAGACCCTATATCATTCCAGACAAGTGGCTGTCCTGTCTCTTCTTAAAAGACTCTAGTGATGGGGCACCCACAACTTCTGAAGGCAAAGTGTTCTATTGGTTAATTATTCTCACTGTTAGGAAGTTTCTCCTTAGTTCTCTCCTTAATTAGTTTCCATCCATTGTTTCATGTCTTTGGAAAATAGGTTATCATTTTGAAAAGAATTTTGAAAATAGGTTATAATTTTGAAATAATATAATTTCAAAAGACTAATTATGAAAGATTTAATCCTACTTTCAGATTTGAATTAAATACCTCAAAGAAGCAGCTTGACTCTTAATAGTTCATGCTTCTGATGTGGCTTTTCTGGTAGGCACACTAGGTGCAAAAAAACTTTTATTATAATTTTATTTTTTCATTTATTATATAGTAACATTTAAAAAAAGAATATTTCCATAAAAACAAGGTTTCACATAGCATCAATTTAATTGCTGTGATGGAAAACAAAAGAATGTAAAAAAAAAATAGCAAATCCTTTATTTGTTTCATTTTACTGAATTATCCACAAGTTCCTTGTGAAAATGCTATAGAGGAATTTCTATTAAATTTAAATAATACGACATATTTGGAAGACTGGAAAAAACAGTAGACTTGTTCTCTCTGGGTGTTTATATAATTAATTCCAGAACACTTCTGCTTGAATATGAGAAATATATTAAAATAGCATTGGGTTTTGAGTAAAACAGTATCTTGTATTAATAAGCTAGCAAATAACATACGGTGTACCCATGGGTGGTCATTTTGTCTTTTTAACTATTTTTTAAAATGAACCTTAATGTTTGTACTCATTATTTTTGGCTGTTCCATTGTAAATCACTCTGGGCTCCATCAAAAGGAAAATTGGTATACAATTATTATCTTCACAACAATGTAAAATCACAGCTGCCAATTCCATAGCTAGTGTTGGCTTTCCTACATTGAGTTCTTCCCAAGAACTTAGGATATCATAATGTATCAAAGTAGCATATATATGGATCCAAGTAGATCCAAGTCTGTTGCAATTGAGAGATGGAAGTGCACAGATTTTCCAAATGCTGTCCAAGATGTTTTGATATAGCAATTATAACAATAATGTTATTATTATTAACAATCTAATATAAACTCAGAGACAAATTAATAATCTGCAAATGGACACAAATAAAAATGTACATTATGAAGAAAGATCATCTCTTTTCCTCTATAAATGCAATGCAATAATGATTTATTAGCTCCAAGAGAAAAATGGCAATAGTTAGGTTGTAATGTCCTTGGAGTTATTCAGTGTTTCTAATTAGGTGATGTATCACTGAAGCTTTCCAAAATAAATGTTTGCCACTTGTTATCTATTTGGATGAAGACCTTCACAATCAAGAAGTAGAAGTGAATTGCTTTAGATTGGCTTACAAAAAAAATAATAAAACACAAGACATCTCTTATATACTCCCATAAATGTCAACAGTTACAAAAGACTTTTTAATTTGTTTCATACTTTTGTTGGATAAACTTTTTGAAATAATGTATGATGTTGCTGGATCAAATTAGTTTCTCAGATAACAGCTGGAAAAGTGACTTATGGAAGGGTTGTATTAGAAAGAGTTCTTTTTATGATCTATTAAAGATAGAAAATAAGTATCATTGCTCATGAAAACAGTACAGGAAAAGAAAAACGTCAAGACATGAAAGGCTACTAGAAGGGGAAAAATGCTCAAAGAAGCCACATTCCATCCAAGTATAGGAACTGAATAAAATATTATTAAGTTAATAGTGATTAAAATCACTGTTAAATAAGTGCCTAATTTATAGGGGTGATCTGCCATTTTCATGTGCCAAGACCTATCTGTCGTGTACACCGTCTAATACAGAGAAACATAGAATTGTGCATAAAATCCTTTCTTCTGAAAGAGATAAAAAAATTGTTTTGGGGACATCTCTGTGATCTTGAAATTCTGATTCTAGATTTTGCCCTTTTGTTTTCCATCATCTATTCACATCGTGAATGAGTTTAATATGACTGACAGTGCTGGGAGGCAATTTTACCCAATCAAATAGTTGTAGGCTGTGCTGGGGGTTTGCTTTCCTCATAGCTAGATAAGCCAATTTTCCCTAAACCAATCAGCATTCCTCATTTCAGCTAACCAGTAAGAGAATGCAAAGAAAACTGTTTAACCTTACCCTTCCTTCGAACCATCACAATTCTCCTAATAAATCTCAAACCTACCCTATGCATAACTTGCTCATAACTTCTCTATCATCATCATCAGGAGGATCAGGGATATATTTCTACGATGAGAAGCTATATAAAGGAAGACCACTTGTAAAAAAAGAAAATACCCAAATGCATCATCTGTTTGTTGCATATAAAAAATTTCAAGAGTGAAGTGATAATATATCAACAAATAGTAAATATCAACAAATGTATACTGCTGGCAGTATAAATAATATAGATAGAAGTAGGATGGTGAATTTCTACAAGAATTGGCGAGAATGAACCCAGGAGCTGGAGGGAGAGAAGGATCACTTGCAAAGCTACAGTATTTCAAAGGAATATGAGCTTTTTTCAGATTCAAATAAACCCCAACAGACTGAGAAAAAATAAAATTGGCTCTCAAAGCCAGGCAACATCATTTGATCGGTTCCAAATTGCTTCAAAACCTTCATGCACAGAAATCTGATATGGTTGCTGTTAGGTCAAGATGTTACTTTGCTGTTCTCACTGTCACAACTTTGAAGGCTCCCGGAGACATTGGGCCCAGTCCAATATAGGAACTAAGTAGAGTCATGATATCCTACCATACCAAAAGAGAACTTTGCCTTAGGTAATAAAAAGATGTAGTTTTTGAGGTACCAGTGCAGACTGGGGTTTATGTTCTATTTATGCAGCTGGTGGTGGACATCACAGTCTACCCCACTGCCCCCTGTGTTTGAAAGACAAACTACTAAGCAGCAGATATCAGCTTACCAAAGTCTTACCATCTCCCTGTACAGAAAAAAGCCCTTGTAAGCTACAACCCACAAAGTTGTAGCTAGATCTCTTTATTCATAGGTCTACCTTATGGACTCAGGTAGTCTTTCATCTAACACTTACCTGCTAATCACTCCAAAGCCTGCATGCTGTCTTTTAGAAATTATTCAACTTGCTGGAATTTATGAATAACAACCATTTTTTGAATTTAAGGAGTTTGCTTGCTGGTCTTGTTTATTCCCTGAAAGCATTGCTCCCCTCATATTTGAATACTCTGTTCATATGGTTTAGTTTTTCTTTGGAAAATCTGTTGGCTTTAGTGCAATTCAGTTGCCCAACTTTTTATTCAAGCTCAGCTGCTTGTTGTTTTCTTGACAGTATGAAACAGTGATGGGTCTTCCCAGATTAGTCTTGTTAAATGTCTTTTGCAGACATTATTTCAGGCCCAGCCATGACCCCACACCCACTTGTGGCAGTTGCAACTCTTGCCAGATACTAAGAGCAGAACTTCCCCAGATTCCTCTCTATTATCTGCTCTATTTTGAGAAGAATTCAGCAGTTTCCTCTGGTGTCTGACATCAAGCAGAAACACGGCCAGGAAATGATGTGCCTTCTATACATTCTGGTCCTGGAGTGGGAGGGAAGGTTGTATGAAAAGAGGTTACTGTTAAAAGATCTATTCAGTGTAGCACCCATGGCTTTCTGTATGCCATGTCCTACAAGTAATAGGTAAAGTATACTTTAAATGTTCCTGTAAAATGAATAGAAGCAATATGGATATTTACCTCCTTTCTAATACTCAGTTCTCTGTGATGACAAAGAAGAGATCAGAGTGGAAAAAACAAACTGAAACAAAGGAGAAAGCAGCATAATTCTGTGTTTTGCTTTTCCTCAAAATCCATTGTCTTCTTTGAATGTTGATCCCTTCTCACTTAAAAACAATATGGAATTGATGGATGGGCATAGTGAGGCTAGCCTTTCTTATGCATAGTAGCTCTCAGTTTTTAAAACCATGCTGAATGAGTTTGTGGCTTTCTGATAAATAAAATCATTTTTATTCACTCTGGGCTTTATGTTAATTTGGTAGAGCCCAAGGGATGAGTGAGACAGCCTCTTATTATGTAATTTATATTTCTTTTGCACAAGTATATGAGTTCTCTATAATTTGAATGCTGCTATCTGTAGGCTAGACCCACATTTCTTTTCCCTTTCAAGGAGTTTGACAGGATGTAACCAGCTAACTCTGAGAGGTAATCTATGCAAGTTTTTTGTTTTGTTTTGTTTTTGAGAAAGATAGTAATTCTGCTTTGTTTGAAGGAGGTAAGTAATCTCTTTCTTAAAAAAGGTCATTCCTTAAGCCAGCTGTGTTTGCCTACTCTCCAACTCTATCCTTTGGAGCAAGTTTGTTATGAAGGTATTGGGAATCAGTTACAGAGGATCACAGAGGAAACAAATTACCTACATGTTTTTCAGTCAGGATTCAAACTAAATCAAGGGACAGAAACAGAATTTGTTACTCGGGTAGCTGACTTAGATTGGGGAATACATTGTTTGATCCTGTGAGACCTCTCAATAGGAGTATCCTTCTGGATCACCTACAAGGGTTGGAAGTAGTGAGCACTGTTTTACAATGATTCTGTTCTTCAGTCAGTGGTTCCTTATTCATATTCAGTTTTTGAGTTCATGAGAGGCCTGCACAGAGCCTGACAGGGCTCAGAACTCTTTCTCATGTTGTTTTAACCTCTGTGTGAAACCACTGGGAGAGATCATCTATCAGTTCAAGGTGATATGTTATTAGTATTACTAGATTGATGGCACTTAATTATACGTTGCTACCTTGGGCCAAACCAGCGATACTCTGGAAGTTCAGAACTGGTGTCTGGAGGTTATAAGCATCTTAATATGACAAAACCATTTCAAATTAAATCATATCAAAACAGAGTTGCTTGTTTTCAGTAAGCATCCAGTAACATTGGATTATGTGCTAGATGACACTCTTTCTCTGCGGTGGCCCTCATTGTATGGAACTGTCTTCTCTTTTCATGAAACTATACTTTGATACCTTTGAGAACCTTGGCTCCCGGTGGTCCCAGTGGTATTATTCACCCTTTGTATTTCACTTTTGGATTTTATAATTACATATTGTTCTTTCATATATGGCTGTATGTGTGTGCCTATAGACCTCAGGGATTGGGCAGATTATAAGAATTGAAAATATTATACAAAAATCAGGGGAAAATGATTCAAAAAAGAAATAGCAATAAGGAACAAGATAGAGCATGTATCAGATGCTCCAACATCAACATGGGTCAGTATTCCAATGGGATGTAACACCTGCATAGACTCAGACTTTGCCTACATAAATACATTTGCAGCTCCACAAAGGTCAGAAAGTCAGGATGTAAAGAAAATGGCTGAGAGAAGTTTGAGCAACAGTGGAAACCTACATTCTGAACCCAGTCTGGAATTTTTTTCTCCATATCATGCAATTTTGTTTTCATTCTTCATTTAAAAAAAAACTGGTGATGGTTTTAATTTGAAGTTTGCTCCATGTATTCCTTTGTTACTGAGACATACCAGGCTTGACGGTGTCAGTGCTTAATTAGCTCTTAAACAATACTTATTTTCCACGCATTACAGACATGTAATGTGAACATTATGGAATCTGTGATTTTTATCATGGTTATGATTTTCCACTGGCCCTGGTTATTTTAATCTCTGCGTTTCATTCACTGCCAGGCTATAACCCAAGAACTGCAGAGGATTCAGGAAATGGGACAAGAAGTTATTCCATAACTCTGTAATACTCCTCCATAACTCATCACTAACAAGTTGCAGCTTGACCTGTGTTCTGTAAAACAAAATGAAAAGTTGGATCAGACAATGAATATTTAATAAGATATTGCTATTAAAAAATCCATCATCAAACCATAGCTGAAGTAATTATGCGTTTATTCTAGCAAGTAGCACAAGCATATCCAATAAAGGAGACTAGATCATCACAAGCATATCCACCTGCTTAGATCAAAGTTATGCAACTAAACGAGAAACTAATAAGCTCATACTTTTAATATATCTGACTTAGTAATGTATTTTGTTTTGATATAATGAATGGAAGTTGAACTAAGCTACCTACAAAAATTCATTTGTAGACAACAGGTAGCCACAAGTTAGATTTCAAACAATAATCTAGATTTTTTAGATTCATTTGTAAGGCTAACTTTTAAAGATAACTTGACATTAAAATTGAAAAAATCTGGTAGTACAGTAATAGGGCTGCTTGGGAGGTTAGAATGCGAATGAACTGAAACAGTAGAATTATCTGCCAGGTTTTCTTGGCTTTAATCCCCTATTGAGTCAAATACTAGGGAACAGAGGAATATCTGTTTCTTTCTTGGGCTTTTAAAAAATGGCAGATATTGTAAGGATAAACCAATGGTTTGTAATGTATTCCTGCAAACATTTTGTATGTTTGATGCCCCCTTTTAATAGTCTTTCCCTGGCAAAAGTAAAATATGACTAATTATAGAACTTACTTTGTACTAGGGGTAGAGAGCTGAGGGCAATGTGGTTGGAAACAAGACATTTCATTTCTTTTTTGGATGGGATTTGGATGTTAGATAATACCCTGAACAGAATTCTACAGGAGCCATATGGACTCCAAGGAGTCTGTGGAGCTTGTGAACTAGTCCCATTGTATTAACTGACTGAGAAATTTCTGTAAGGAGAAACAGAGGCTTCTTTTTCTGTTTTCCCCCTTAGTTTGGCTTTTTCAGAAGAAAAGTAAATAAGGCAGTTTTAGATTTGTAATTGTTTTATATTAACTAATGTTTGTGATCTTGTCATATACTCACCTACATTTTTTGTTTTAGTGGAATCTTTGTTATTGTTCTTTAAGCCCAGTGATAAATGAAATGAAAAATGTTATAGGTCTCATTTCAGAAAGGTGTTTTTTCTTTACTTATGGCTGTTACTTAGTATAATTATGAACATCTATCATCCAGAAAATGCTTAGAATTTTTTTCTCCAGGCGTGCCTTTAATTCTTTTTTGAGCTTATATTCGGTTTTCATTTCAATTTGTGGATATTTGTGCTGAACCATCCTATAAGTGGAGCTAGATTTTTAGAAATAAAACCTGCCTTTAAATTAAAGCTTTAAATTTAAGTGTTGCACTGCCATACTATATCCAGTTTCAAAGATTTTAACAACATGATGCAGTTTTTGTGTACATTTAATAGAGAACTAATAGTTTCCATGTTGATTAAAATCTACCCTTGAAAACTTTCTCTAATAGCTACTAGGCAGAAAAATAATCGTTATGGTAATCAATAGTAATGGTTATGTTGTAACACAAATGTTTGAAAGCATACCAAAAATATTTTATGAGTTTGTTTTAAAATGTATATTAAACAGTGGAAACAATTTTTGCATACAAATTTCATACAAAAACATATTGAGTCTTACTAATGTAAAAGAAACTTTCAAAAGTCAGAACTGTATCTTCTCTTCTTTAGTTGAATAAAATATTTCACTGGTTTATCAGTGATAATTTAACAGAAATAGGCCTTTCATCTATTCACTTCACTAACAAATCCCACCAAATTGAAATATGCACATTGCCCTTATAATTTTGCTATATAACTTTTTTTTATCTTGGTGTGTCTGTTCAGTAAAACCTATAGTAAAACCTATTGTACCCTGCATTACACTGATGGTCTCATTTATAGGCAGGTAACCAGACGGCTACTGTAATTGCATTGTGTTCAATGAGAGATTTCAACTTGTCTCAAGAAACATGCCAGTTGGCAATTAGAGATGTTGGGGGTCTCGAAGTGCTGATTAATTTGCTTGATACTGAAGAAATCAAATGTAAGGTGAGTTAGTTACATAGCAGTAATTTTTTTTAGGATTCCAGTAGCTTTCACACAGGGTGTTCATTTTGACTTCCAAATCCTTCTGTTTCTTTTAAATAGCTCTGCAACTATCACTCATCTTGTAACGCTGTGTATTTTAATTGAAGCCTCATAATGAGTCTTAACATTTAAGTCACTGGGGAAATTTAAGGAATTAAAACAATTAAGAACTTATGCATGAATTACAGCGCAATTTGGAGAATCCTTCTGGCTTCCATGTACAGGGACAAAGGAAATCAAGATTTCTTCGGTTATTTCCTTTTTGCATCCTCACATGAATTCTCTTTAGAGGCTTTTGCCATCATGTCTAAGAAGCAAAAGAATTTGCTTCTTCAGCTTCGTCACCACTTGCAGTCATCCACATCACACTCATGATTGATAATAGCAATTTTCTATTTGACAGCATGATAATACCTTCTTATTCCATGAGTGAAACAATCATCCTTAGGAGTACTTAAGTTTTAAAGTAATATATTACACTTTAAATCAGTACCATCCCAGCTTAGCTTCAAGGTGTATGAAATCTGTAATGTTTTGTTACCTATTATCTTAGAGGCAAGGACAGCTGAGAAGGAAGATTATACGAGTGCTTGTGCAATGGGGCCACTTCCAATAATCTGCTCATTAAAAAGCCCCTGCCACAGCTACTTCCCTTATAGATTTTGCCCTTTTCACTACTATTATGTTCTTTATGTGCTTGTCACTTTTCCTTATCCTTCCCTTTGGCACCAACTTTTCTCCAGCTTTCTAGAAGATAGAGCAAAGAAGAGCAGACTCATTTTCAGAAAAGGGGATACTCTGGGGCTTATTTGTTATTTTGTTTTCATTTGTCTCTTATAATCACTGTTCCACTCTCCTCTGACCCATGTGGTTAGTTCAATTAGTCAATTTCAGTTCTTTGGTAGTATAACCTCTAGCCAATTTTACAGTCCCAACAGACCCTGTGTCCTCTTTTCTGTTACTATTTCTGCGCTGGCATCTTTCCGTATTTTATTTTATTTGCTCTTATTTTAAACTTGGGAGATGATCTAAAGAGGTAGGAGGAGTAGACAAAGATAAGCCACAGATGAGAGACAAAGTCCCCAGTCAGAACCTCAGCTTTCCTGCTGAAGTGACCCATTCGATGAATATTTTCTCTGCTGACTGGTGAAATTCTAAAGGGGAAAGTAACAAAACCAGAGAAGAAAATAATCACCCTGCCTACAATGAATAGCACAATCCCCAGTCAGAATACCACCATTTGATAATGACTCAGAACAGATGTTGTAGAAGCAGAATATGAATTGGCAGTGCTGCCACTGTTTGAGTCCTGGATGGGTGGAAAGTAATAGAGGAAGACCCTTTGCCTTCTGTTTTTTCATTCTGTAATCAAACTGTATGGAAGAAGGAAAGGCATGTAGCATCTCCTGTGGCATGAAAATCCTCATAGTACAGGTAGTCCTCGACTTACAACAGTTCATTTAGTGACCTTTCTAGGTTACCATGGCATTGAAAAAAGTGACTCATGACCATTTTTCACAGTTATGACCTTTGTGGTGTTCCCATGATCATGATCAATGCTTGGCAACTGGTTCATATTTATGACAGTTGCTGTGTCCCAAGATCCTGAGATTACCTTTTGCAACCTTTTGACAAGCAAAGTTAATGGGGAAGCCAGATTCACTTAACAATCGGGTTACTAACTTATCAACTGCAGTGATTCACTTAACAACTGTGACAAGAAAGGTAGTAAAATAAGGAAAAACTCACTTAACAAATGTCTCACTTAGCAACAGAAGTTTTGGACTCAATTATGATCATAAGTAGAAGACCACCTACATAGAAAACTTTCCAGTATAAAAAAAGCAATCAATAACAATGCATTTTTGTTCCATTAGATTGGTTCATTAAAAATCCTGAAGGAAATTAGTCAAAATGCTCAGATAAGACGTACGATTGCTGATCTTGGAGGATTGCAGATCATGGTTAATATACTTGATTCTCTAGATCAAGATTTGAAGTGTTTGGCTGCTGAAACAATAGCTAATGTAGCTAGGTTCAAACGAGCCCGAAGAACAGTCCGTCAGCATGGTGGAATCAAGAGACTGGTAAGTTGCTTATATACTCATATAAGTTTTAATATCAGAATTTCATTCTAATCATGTCTTTTTTTCCTCTAACAGTAATGGGGAACTAAATGTATATCAATGTAGTCAAATAATTTCCTTTTTTCATGTGACAGAAAGATTACTCTGCTTTTTTTTTAATGTCACTATGGGGCATTGCATGCCAAAACAACTAAACTCAGGGACAGTTTTTTCTCTAGTGCCTTCACTCTGCTGAACATCTAATTCCACAGCACTGTCTTATGTCTAAAGATATTTAACCATGTGGTAGGGCTGTATTACTATCATCCTTCTCCTCTATTACCTTCTACTATTGGTATCTTATGATTATATTACTTTGTTGTTTATATGTACACTGAGATCTTATGCACCAGAGACAAATTCTTTGTGTGTCCAATCACACTTGGCCAATAAATAATTATTCTGTTCTGTTCTATTGTATTCTATTCTATTCCTGTTTCTATTTTTATTTTTGTCTATTTCTATTCTAATTCTACCTTATCCTACCCTACCCTATAGCAGACATTAGCAGAGCTGTGGTGGCGCAGTGATTAGAATGCAATATTGCAGGCTAATTCTGCTGACTGCCAGCAGTTCAATTCTGACTGGCTCAAGGTTGACTCAGCTTTCCATCCTTCCGAGGTAGATAAAATGAGGACCCAGATTGTTGGAGGCAATAGGTAGACTCTGTAAACCACTTAGAGAGGACTGTAAAGCATTGTGAAGCGGTATATAAGTCTAAATGTTATTGCTATGTGTAGCCTTCCTTTAAAAGAAAATGAACAATCCCCAGTCAGAACAACAATTATCTTTAAAATTAATAGTAGCATCTCTCTAAAATTCTTGCCATTTTGAAGTGGAATACAAACATAACCTCTAAAATAGACCAAAGATATTTTTTTAAAAAAAGCCCGCATCCCAAGAAAAACTATAAATTTCTAATCTTAATCCTTTGACCCATCCATAGTGTTTCTTTGCCTTCCCAAAATCTCATATGGGAACTCTGCTCTCCCCCTGCTCCACCAGAAGATTGCAGACTTTTTTTTTTACAATCAAAAGCTTATAGGCAATAAGAGCTAGAACTGGATAAGATATTTCCTTCTTTCATTTCTAGAACAAATGTTATAGGCATCTTTATGGTATCTTTCAGTGCCAGGATGCATATTTGATTAGTGTCCATCAGGATGTACCTGATCAATTTTATTGGATTATTGTTTCTTACCAGGTTGGGCTGTTAGACTGTTCTGCAAGCCTCAATCAGCTTCAGGGAAAAGAAATTGAAGTAGCACGTTGTGGTGCTTTGGCACTGTGGAGCTGCAGCAAAAGCGCTAGGAATAAAGAAGCAATCCGTAAAGCTGGAGGCATCCCTCTGCTGGCTCAGTTACTGAAGTCTCCTCATTCAAATATGTTAATACCTGTGGTAGGAACTTTGCAAGAGTGTGCCTCTGAGGTAAGCAATGTTGCTTCTGAAAATTCAGGTGTCTATCCTCCACAGGTCAAATAGAAAGCAAAAGTAGATAGTGCAACATTAAATTGCAACAATATTCTATCTATCCATTCATCTATATACTAATCAATCACAAAGTGATATAATTGACTACAACATAAAGTAGTTTCAGTGATTCCATGTAATTATATTCCATTATATTTAATTCTTTAAATTAATAGAAATTATGGTATTTACTTGAAAGGAATAGGAGTTGTCATTTCCGAATAATTACAAATAGAAATAACTGAAATTTGTGTGTGTGTGTGCGTGCGGAGGGTGGGGGGATATATAATCCCTCTCAGGTGACAAGCTGATCAGTCAATTCCTGTGACAACTAACAGATCCACACTTAGTTGATTAAAAAAAAAAAGTGGACCCTGCACTTGTGGGAAAACGTTAGGGAGAAAAAAAACCTCACTATCCCTAGGATATTGTCTCCAGATTTTGTAATCAATCCTTTTCTGACTGAGCAATAACAAAATATTTGTATACCAATATGGGTGTTAGTGGGAGATCAGTTAATTTTGAAATTGAATTGCCTTGTTTTATAACCTATTGATTGTATCAGGCTTTTTTTGGCCCAGTATTGCCTTTTTTTGAAGAGAGGTTTCTGACCAGTGTGTACAGATAGTCCTTGATTTACAACCGTTCATTTAGTGACTGTTCAAAGTTATAACAACACTGAAAAAAGTGACTTATGACCGTTTTTCACACTTATGAACATTGCAACATCCCCATAAACGTGATCAAAATTCAGATGCTTGGGAACTGGTTCATATTTATGACCTTTGCTGTGTCCCAGGGTCATGTGATCACCTTTTGCAATCTTCTGACAAGCAAAGTCAATGGGGAAGCCAGATTCACTTAATAACCAGGTTACTAGCTTATCAGCTGCAGTGATTCACTTAACAACTAGTGGAAGAAAGGCTGTAAAATGGGGCAAAAACACTTCACAAATGTCTCACTTTACAAAAGAAATTGTGGGCTCAATTGTGATCGTAAGTCGAGGACTACTTGTATTACACATTCTTATGCACAGTTATGCAGTAGGTAGACAGATGGACATATAAATTTCCTGATTGGTTTTGGCAGGAATTGTCATCCTTAACTCACAAGAAAAAGAGGCTTTGCAGTATAGAGGAATATTTGCTAGTTTTATAGTCTTCTACTAATTTTCATTGTTAGGAGGATAGCAAAGACAAAAAAAGAATTTAACTTTGCCCACATTGGTAATTTATTTTCTAAACGTTTTTTTCAAACCCTTTCTAATAGGTGTTTATTTGTATTTGTAGCCCAGCTACAGACTAGCAATAAAACAAGAGAAAATGATTGAAAATCTTGTGAAAAATCTGAACAGTGAAAAGGAAGAATTGCAAATGCATTGTGCCAGTGCAATCTTTAAGGTAAACCTTAATCTTCTCAGGCAAAAAAGGTTCTCTGTGAACTATTTCTCTTTAAAAAATAATGGGACAAACTGGATACCTATCTAGGGAAAAAAATGGTGGAACTTCTTCACCTGCTCTTTATCACAAAAACTGAAATAACTGAACAAGAGCCTAAATAATCTGTGCTTATGAGAAAATATTTACAAATGGGCTAGAGTGGGAAGGAGAAATAAAGAAATAGTAAGTAATTGAATTTGTAACATGCCAAATTTATCAATTTATTGATTTTTAAGATATTGTCAGTTATCTTGCACTGATGGCACAGTGATTAAAGTGCAGTATTGCAGGTAAACTCTGCCCATTGCCTGGAATTCAATCCTGACAGGGCTTAAGGTTGACTCAGCCTTCTATTCTTCTGAGGTCGGTAAAATGAGGGCCCAGATTGTTGTGGACAATAATGCTTTTATTGCAAACCACACAGAGAGTGCTGTAAAGTGCTATGGGCAGTGATGGGATTCAGCTAGTTCGCACCACTTCGACAGAACTGGTAGTAATTTTTTATTGCCCAGGCCCAGAATGGACTTCCAGAAGCGGCATCCACACAGAGAACTGGTTGTTCATATATTTGAATCCCACCACTGACTCTAGGGTAGTATATAAGTCTAAATGCTATTGCTATTTACTGTACAATAGTTACAAATCCTCTAGAATAAGCAAAGCCTTATATTTAAAAAGTTCCTGTTGGGCTACAGTCTTACTATTCTTTGGCCCGTGTTCTAAGAGTGCTTAATTTGTCAGGATCCTCCCCATGAAGTTGCATACAGGACTCTGAATCTGCAATGGAAAATGCAGTCTTGAATAACTTTGTTTATCTATCAGCTCTGATGTGTCCAAATTTGACACCATGAAACTTTCAAAGGAAAATGATAATAAAAGCTTTAGATCAAAAAAAACACTAGCCCTTTAACTTGGATAGTATTAACTCCAAACCCACCCCCACAAATTAATAATGTAAAGAGGATGGTGAATTCTCTATTGCTATGTCATTCTTTAGTTAGCAGAATTCTGGAATATTGGTCTAGTTAGCATTGCTTTGTAAATAGCTTGCCATGTTTTTCCCCCCTACTTATCTCCCTTCATATGCTTGCTTTATTTAGGAAATAAATATGGCTGCCCATCTACCTATAAGAAAATTGGGGTATTGAACAAAAATTAGAGAAATTTTTAAATGTATATTTTATTATTTTTTTACAGTAACAATCTTTAGTATTAGTAAGCAACACGTTGTCTGGGTTTATATGTTTGACAATAATAGTACAACCTGCCTCCAGAAGCGGTGAATGCTCCAACACTGGAGGTTTTTAAGAAGAGATTGGACAGCCATTTGTCCGAAATGGTATAGGGTTTCCTGCCTGAGCAGGGGGTTGGACTAGATGACCTCCAAGGTCCCTTCCAACTTTACTATTATTATTATTATTATTTTCCATTCCTACTCTTTATTCCATTTTTCTAACCATTTATAAAAAATTTCCCATGTTTGAAAGTATTCTGAATCTTGCTTCCCCTTCATTTTCAATTTGAGCCTATCCATTTCTGCACAATTCAAAATTTTCTTAATTATGTCTTCTTCAGATGGTATTTCTTCATTTTTCCAGTATTGAGCAAATGTAATTCTCGCTGCTGTTAATATATGTAATATTAAGTATACACATTTTTATTATAATTTTCTGAGATTGCTAGTCTTGCAGGTGGTAGATACCATCTATAGAACATTTTATATAAATTTTCTTTATAAGTAGCTTTCCTTGTTATTTTGTAGTTTCTTTCCCATAAGTTTTGCCATTTTTCTAACTCTACATTGTGTCCAAAGTTTTTTCCCCAAATTATCATTGTTTCTTTAACTTGTTCATGTTCCATCTTTAAATTTAACAGAAAGCTGTATAGTTTCTTAATCAATTTGTCATCTGATGACAATAGTATCTGGTCTAACGCTGTCTGGTCTTTGTAAAAACCACATATTTTTGTCTCTTTCTCATATCTCATTTGCATTTGCAGGTGTGGCTACCATGATAGCTCAGTGCCCTGTTCTTCCAATTCTTGTTTAGTTTGTAGTTTCCCATCAGTATTCAAAATATCTTTATAAGTCACAAGTTTCTCATAATTAATTAAGTTTGGGTGTACCAACGCCTTCATTGTTGAAACCCATCCTAATATTTTCATGTAAGTTCTTGATTTTACCTTTTCCCATTTCAAAAGCAGTGCATTTCTTTCATAGTGGTTTTGAAAGTATTTGTGAATTTTGTTCTTCCCATACCATAGGAAAGCATGCCATCCAAGTTGTAGGTCGTGTCCTTCTAGGTATAATAGTCTTTTATTTCTAAGAGTTATCCATTTTTTTAACCATGTTAGTGTGCTGTTTGATAGTACAAGATCCAGTCTGGTAGCCCAAAACCTCCATTTTCTTTTGCTTCTTGTAACATCTCCAGTCTGATTCTAGCTTTTTTCCCTTGCCAGATAAATTTCAATATTGATGACAAAAAAAATTGTCAGTTTTTATCGGTATTGTTTGAAATAGAGTAGTTTGGGTAAAATGTTCATTTTCACAGTCGCTATTCTTCCCAAGATTGATATTTGTAGATTTTTCCATTTTTCCAAGTCTAGTTTTATTTGTTTTAATAATTTTACATAATTATCTTCTTTTATTGTTACATACTCTGCTGTTGGATATATCCCCAAGTATTTAACTTTCTTAGCTACTTGAAGGTCTGTTTTTTTCTGATAAAAGTTTTTTTTATCTGTGAGGTTTTTAACTATAACTTTAGTCTTTTCTCTATTGATTTTCAGTCCTACTATTTCTCCAAATTCTTCAATCTTTGCTAATAATTTAGGACTTTTCTCTAACGGATCCTCCAATATAAATACCAGGTCATCTGCAAATGCTTGTACACCCTAGAGAGAATTTTAAACCATTAAAGCAAAAAAGACAATGCTGAGGCCCCAATGAAACTTACGTCCATAGATCAACCATACCATGTCAGCCTCATTAACATCCTGACTCCAGTGTCTGGAGGAAAAAACATTGTTTTTCTGAAGGCCAATAATGTTAGGCCATCCATATTTCTTGATTGAAACTGTATTTGCCAATGTTCATTTTGAGACTTCTCACTGGAGTGATGAAGAAATGGGCTTGAGATCTATTTATTTTAATAGGATTTTAAACCTATACTATTTGTTTGCATCTTTCTAATTTAATTTAGGAATCTAAATATTGCTTCTAGGATTTTAAATTTAGTCCATTTACCGGTAAATCATATTGCTATCTCTAAACAGAACATGGATTTAAAACGTGTTTTCAATGTCTCTTTGTATTTATATTTTCTTTTGTTCGTTTGTTTTTACATAGTGTGCTGAAGATCAAGAAACTCGTGACCTTGTTAGGCAACATGGAGGCCTGAAACCTCTTGCTACTTTAGTTGCTAATTCTGGAAATAAAGAACTTCTGGCAGCAGTGACTGGAGCAATCTGGAAATGTGCAATCAGCAAAGAAAATGTGACAAAGTACTTGCAATATTTGCTGTCTTGAAATATATGTATTGTAGTTAGCACCTCCTGCTTATAACCAGCCATAAGAATTTACAAACCATTAGGATTTTAAAATCATTAAGATTTAATAGTTATGTATAAGTAACATCAGGAATATTTAGGTGTTGTGTGTGCACTTTAGATGGGGTTCTGTCTAACTCCAGTTATCATACTGAAACTTAAAACTTGTTGAAATATTTATTGGAGAAGTTGGCAATCTAATAATATAAGTTTAAGCCAACATTTACTTTTCAAGAATACCTGTAGTTATCATCAACTGTATTCTCTATTTTAATGTCACCTAGATATATTGGAGTAAAAATTAGTTTTTGCCCTGTTGGGTAAGGATAGTGGGAAACACAGTCTAATCCATTTTACAGATCACTAAATTGAGGAAGGATATCCAAGAGCTATTGATATCTGCAAGCAGTGACAGGTCGGCCTTTTATGCATTTATGTGCAGTGTTGCGATAGAAATATGAAAGGGTGAAATTGGTGTCATGGCGCATGATGGACATTTTGTCAGTTTGGCATCATAATTGATAGGAACAGATGTGCCTGGAAGTTAGAGAATTACAATTTGTGATGTTAAAGCAAGCAGCAACCCTTGTAAAATAAGGCATATTAGAAGTAATGTCAAGATTTGGCTGAAATGGGTTTATGCATATATATATTGCCAGTTTCAATTCAAATGTTTATTAATCTTGAATTTTATGATTCCTAATTATAAGACACAGTCATGACTGAGAACTATAAAATTCTGGAAAATACAGAAAGTACAAAACTTCTACTAAATTTATTTATTTAAAAACGTCATTCCTATTGTAATATAGAATGATAATAGCTCATCTGCCTTTAAACCACCCAAAATATGAGACAGAATAATGAAATCCAAATTCTTTGAATTTAATTATAGTTGGAGTAAGTCTGTTGACAAATATATGTATATTTAGTCATGAAACTTTGATTTTTAGATTCCGAGAATACAAAGCCATAGAAGCTTTGGTTGGCTTGCTAACAGATCAGCCAGAAGAGGTTCTTGTAAATGTGGTAGGTGCCCTTGGTGAATGTTGTCAGGAACAAGCCAATCGGACCATTATCCGTAGATGTGGTGGAATCCCATCTCTTGTTGCCTTACTCACTGGAACCAATCAAGCTCTTCTTGTGAATGTGACTAAAGCTGTGGGGTCTTGTGCAACTGAACCAGAAAATATGGCGTAAGTTTTTCTGTTTAGTATATATTATATGCACATTGCCATATTTGTCATATTTGAAATTAGTGCTATGAAAGACACATCATAAATAAGAATTACATTTAGCAAATATTTAGTATGTTTGAAATAAAAGATTTCAACTAAATAATATTTGAAATATTTCAATAACTAAAATATTAAAATTAAATAAATCAAGCCTCACAATATTTTTGAGACTCTTTTTTCTGTATTCATTGGTGATTTTGTGATGGGCTGAATATGAAATTATCCTTGCTTTGACTATATTAGCAGAATGTGGTCAATGGAATTTTAAATCCTGATTTTTATTTAAATGGGAGCATTAAATGCCACAAGTTGTTTTGTAAACTCATGTTGTTTCAAAGTCTTTTCTAAAATGACATACTAATAAATAACTACTTCTGGTTTCAGAAACATTACTAGAATTTTAAGATTTTGTACAGTTTTTGGATCTTGAACTTTTATGTTAAATATGAATTAATATAGGAGTTAATAACTTGTAGTGTTAAGGTCACAAAGAGACCTTGATTTAATGTAGCTTTCAGTTAATTTCACAAGCTTTTTACAAGAGTGATTTCCAATATTGCTGGGAGTAATCTATCCCTCTTTTGGAGTCTTCTGTGTTTTGTGTGTGTGTATGAGAGAGAGAAAGAGGTGTGGTGTGGTGATGGAATTAAGAAGAATGAAGATACAATGACAAAAAATAGTTTTGTGTCCTTGCCTTAATAAAATCCTAAAACCTAAATTGGTCTCTATTTGGGAAGAGTGCCAATAATGATCTACTTTATATTCTGTATCATTTTATGATATTAATATGGGATCATTTCAGATATAGTGATATCAAGTCTCAGTTTTAAAAATACTGAGTAGATCGTATCATTTTTCAAAATTCTATATTCAGAAGAATGGGATCATTTTGGTAGTACAGATTTCAAAATACTGCAAAACAATTTAGGAATAAATATATAGCAACTTCCAAAGTTTAAGTAGTTTAAGGCTGATAAGCATATGAATGATCCTATGCTTTTCTTCCGAGGCAGACATTACACTCATTTAGAACAATTTCATTTCTAAAGTTTGAGGTAGAAAGTTGGGTTTCTGGATGAGATTCCAGGATATTCTGAGTACAAACTGTACTCTTCACCAACAAATTGTCATTCCTTCTTTGATAATATCTGAATCCTAACACCTAAAAAACAAATTATATATTTCTTTCTAAGTGCTTTAGCACAAAATATGTTTTTCCTTCTGCCCATCTAAGCTTTAAAAAATCTTTTGCGTAGTTGACATTATAAGAGTTATCCTGAAGTATTTAAACATTTAATAGCTGTGCATGGAAACTAAACATTATCAAACCACATTTTCTTTTTTTCTTCTTCCCACATTGCACTCTTAAGTGTAAACGAAGTTATTGGTTTTTGACTGTTATAATGTAAAACTTAGATCTGAAATTTAAGCATTTCCTTTTGGGATAAATGTTTCATTAAAAGCTTCAAGTAATATTTTGCTTTATGTGGAAAAAGTCTTGACAAGGGCATGTAGTATAGTTCTTTGCTTCTGTACAAGCAAGATCAAATGAATATAGCCCTTGTTTCCTCCCATTATTTTATTTTGCCTCACTTGCTTCTCTTAGTGCAGTGATTTAATTTCCTTGAAAGCACCATTTGTTTTTTGTTTTTTTTAAATAAATTTTTATTGATTTTTCATTAAAAAACAAAAATATAAATCTTTTATCACAATGTTAACCAGAAAAAAAAAAATCAACACCAATCAATACATTCACGGACGTGTCCGGTGTCCCCCTCCCGCACCCCCCCTCTCACTTGCCTACACCTTCCTCCTCCTTATCTTACCACCACTCCTCCTTCCTCCCTCTTTCCTACTTCCCTTTCTCCCTCAACCATCCCGTCAGTGCAGTTGGGGTATCACCAGGCACCTCCTTAAAAAATCATACATATATATATATACATATAAATCTATAATACCAACCTAGCCCTTTCCCCCCTCCCCCCCCAGGACTTCCCAAAGCTAATCTAGGAAATAAATGCACAATCATCCACCATTTGTTTTCATGCTTTGGCTGTCACCCAGTGGTAAGATAGGGCAGAAATGTAAATATGGCATAGATGAATGAAGCAAGTAGAAAGTTATGCATAGAATTAATCATTATTATATCATATCTCATAAACAATGGTTAGTTTACATGTAATTTTTGTATTAACTCAACACTGGTAGAGTCATAAATTGGCAATGGAATCCAAATAAGATATTGTAGAGCAGGGCTTTTCAAACTTTTCACCCATTGTACCACTTTTAGGATATGGCAATATCCGAGTACCACCAGTCAACTAGCAAGGTGTCAAAAACTTGACCCCCCAAAAAAAGGAAAAAAGTGATAAAGTACAGGTAGTCCTCGACTTACAACAGTTCGCTTAGTGACTGTTCGAAGTTACAATGGCACTGAAAAAAGTGCCCCCCAAGCCACAGCCGAGCAAGACACCTGCCTGCCCACCCAGCGGCGCTCTTCCTCCTGTCTGAGGTTTCCATTGTTGTGAGCATTTCTGTTGAGGATTGGCAGTGGAGGTGGAGTGAGGGGGGTGTTTGGCTTTTATTCCCCCCATCTGCTGGGTGGTTGCAGCAGGTTTTGGTCACTTCAAATGACCCTGGGACACTGTGACCATCATAAATATGAATCAGTTGCCAAGCATCTGAATGTAAATCACAAGACCCTGGAGATGCTGCAACATCCGGCGCTTCTTCTGAGCTTAGCAGAAGTGCCAGGATCAGTACCGAGCTCCAGCTGTAGCCTGGCATTGATCCTGGTGCTTCCACTGAGCCCTGACAGCCCTGCAGCTCCAGCCATCTCTCGCTCAGACTTGTGCGGTGCTGCCACCGGTTCAGCTCATTCCCCTCCCCGGCTACCACTTTTCTAGGATGTTCGCGTACCACTTGCCAGGTGGTACCCGTACCACTGGTTGAAAAGCCCTGTTGTAGAGCATTAATAATAATAATATACTGCTTGGAGGCTATTGCTTTTGTCTCCAGTTTTATACTAGAATAGACAACCCATGACCTGCTTGGTCATCATTTCAGAAATATTTTCTTACCCAGTTCCTCAATATCTTCTACTATACTGCCTTCACTGAAAAAATTCTTAAAGATTCTGAAAGATATTCAGAGATGTATCTACCTTGAAAATAGCTCATGTTTAACTGTATAGGAGAGTCATACTACAGAAGTTGTCTACAGGACTTTTAATGATATTTTGAATTACATCATAAAATGCTTATAAGTTTTATGTCATTACATGTTTTATAAAATTTGCAAAATTACAATTCTTTTTGGGTCATGGCTTCCAGATTTTGGATGCATTCTGTAAGTCCATTTGAGGTACCTTGGTCAAAAAGGTTTTGCCCCATGATGTACTGTTTGCCCAGTTAAAAGTTATAGGCATAAGAATTTTACTAGTAAATAAAATGAATATCAAAGCATAATGGTGAATTGTGATCTGAAAGATATCACTTTATTTAAGCAAAAGGAAAGGAACCGTTGATCATTTGAGTGGAATCAAATGAATCTTGAGTTAAGGTATGCATCACTCCTTAGTTTATTTTATTCTTCCAATTTGATTCTCCAATGCAGGAACATTGCTGAATGCTATCACCATCAACCCCTAATGATAGCTGGAACTTTGAGGAAAAGATACAGCAAAGAACATACAAAGGAGAACAATCAAACATACTTCTAAGTATAGTTTGTGTCATCAAGAGTGATTGAGTTAGCTTTGTTTAGCATGTTCTCAGAGGTCCTATTCCAGATTCTCTCTCATGCTGAGATGTAGCAAATGGTTATCAAGGTGTAGGCCTTCCTGGTGGTATTCCTTCAGTTTGAAATGGCTTTTCAAAGGGTGTGTCTAGCTGTTCATTATTCTTCTGGTTGAAGGCAAATATATTTTATTTCATGCTGCTAATATATGATTTATGTTTTATTACTGTACTGACACAAAGGGTATTTTTTTTATAATAAGTCTGTGTCTAGGTATGTTGTGTTAACATATGGCAAACTTTTACTATTTTTTTAAATGTAATTTTAAAATGCTCTACTTTATCTGAAGAAAACTTTGTTTTGAACAATAATGCTACAATAATAATAACAATTATTTGGCTTAGACAAATGTACTACAACAGCAATAAATCGGTAAAATCACAAACAATAATGGAATTGAAATACTGAATGGCCAAATTATCAGGATTTAGATGAAGGCCTCAAGTATCTGGTATTTTACAGTTGGATAACACCAAGCATGGATAAATTAAAAATGTGATTAGTAAAGATTATACCCAAAGACTAAGAAAAGTGCTAAAGAAAAAAATGAATGGTGGAAACACCATCAAAGTAATCAATACTTGGAATCATTAATTGAGGACAAGCTGAATTGGACAGTTTGAACCACAAAACAAGAAAGCTAATGATTATTCATTATGCATTACATCGGTGTAGTTATATTGATTGATATGAACAGTGTCGTGGTCCAGTGCGGGCCACGGAAATGGCTGGCCAGTGTGCGCATGTGTGGGTGCGCATTTCCCCCCACTCATGCTAGCGCCCGCAGTCCTGTTTGCATCTGCACGGATGCTAGTGCGGGGCGGGTGTCCGCAGTCCATTTGCACATGTGCCACTAGCCTGGGCGGTTTGTGTGACCCATTTGCACATGCGCAAACAGGCTGCTAGCCGCCGTGGGGTGCATGGCTGCTCATGCATGCGCACGTTGCCAGCGCATGCCACATGCACGAACGGGGCTGCCAGTGCCGTGCCAGTGTGCATGGCCCCGTGTGCACAAATGCGCGCATGCACACCAGTTTGGAAGTGCTCTCCTTCCCTCCGATCCTCGAGCCCGGAAAGGTCGGAGACCTCTGGCCTAGTGGTCAAGATTCCCATTTGAAAGGTTGAAAGTTCAATTCTAGGTAGTGGCAGATGTTTCTTTC